GAAAATTTCCCTTCACCACACACACAGGTATATATATATATTTTTATTTTTTTATTTTTTTATTTTTCTAAAAGAATTGGCCGAAGGGAGGACCCCCAACCAATCCCATGTGCAAATTCAAATCCCGTTTGGTCGAGGATTTGAACCCGGGTCGAGAGGGGACTTATGAAAAGCCAACACCAACTCACCTACACCCGGTGCACACATGTGCGCCATTGGGTGACAAGTTGGTAGGCAGTTGCGTTGTTAGTCATAAGACCCCTCTGACTCGGGTTCGATCTCTACGAGGACGGATACCAATTATGGGGAGCAACATTTATCGAACCCACCACCAATTAGAGGGTTCGATCTCTACGATCTCTACGAGGGCGGTCCTAGATGCTTCCTCTGTATTGTGTCTTTGTTTTCAGTTTCATTTTATAGTTTTGTTCAATTTATGATAAAGGCCAAGAAAAGCTTAGGTGTAGTCCTAGAACTAGCGTGCTTTTACTTTTTTTTACATATTCAGACATTATTTTCTTTGGATGAGAGAATTTTAAACTTTGTTTAATGCTTTTTCGAAGACATTAAATCCTAGCCGCTTGAAGTAGGTCATTAGGGCGAAAAAAATTATGATTAAATTCCGAGTGCAAGACCCTTCTTGAATTGCTACAGTGTTTATCTGATTTGAGCATTATTAATTGTTCCTATTTCTTTGATTTGTATTGCTATTATGTTCCTTTATTGAAAAAGAAACGAGCTATCCAGGGTTGAGGGTCTTGAGGCTGTAGTGAGTAGGGTGAGGGTACATAGTAAGGAGAATGAATGGAGTGAGCCAAGTTGCGCAAAAATTGAGAAAGTTAGGGTACATTGAAGAGGGTTGAAGAGTAAACCTATTTTTTGCCACCTTTATCACCATTATAACCTATATCAGCCATCCTCTCCATTATATACAGTCCTTATTCTCTACATGCAATCTTTTCTATCACTAATTCGAAGGCACCAAACAATTTTTGGAATAAGGTTTAGCAATTCTACAATATTAACTGTGCAAAGTTCAAACTTTGAAACATATGATAGTTGCATTCTCAGTATTATTCCAAAAGTTTAGGAGCTTTATGTTAAAAGCTATTATAATTAATTGCACACCAAGAAGTAATCAGCTACATAGATATATACATACATAGAGGGGTTATTTGTGTGTGCGTGTGTGTATTTTATTTTATCTTCTTTTCAATCATGTAATGTCTAATTGACCATCTTCCATAAATTTCATAAGAATAAGTTGTTTGATGCCAATTTGAAAGTTACTTTGGTCATGCATCAATCATAGAAAAGTAACATTCCATTGAATGGTTTTTTTAGTGAGTCTAGCGCAGCTACAAAACAGAAGGAGACGAGGAACAGGAAATAGTGAAGCAGAAACTATTCTTCCATAATCATTTGCAAGCAAAAGGTGTCTACTCAAACCGGTACAACAAATATAGGTATCGTGCCTACACTATCAGCACAACCGTACATACGTATAATAAGAAATAAGCGAAACACATATAGAGGTCTAATATTCAGTATTAATTAGTAATAAAATACTTATAAATAAATAAAGGATATAGCAGCTGTTGCTTATAAGAGGATTCACTGCATTAGATTCTCTTCTGAATCAGAAGAATTCGACTCGAGTTCCGTGATTTGCACACATCCATCGTCCGGTGGTTGATACTTTTATAGATAAGTTACATTGAAGGTGGAAGAGATATTCAAATCAGGAGGAAGTGTCACCAATCACGCATTATCATTAATCTTTGTTTATGTTCTATCAACCATGGAAATAAGCTTATTGCGCTCACTATCATCATTCCCATAGTTCTATTTGTCATAACATCGTTTCAAATTTACTTGCCATTTTGATCGCTTGAGAACTCTTCGGTTTGGGAGTTACAATGACATCAACTGTATGATTTGGTTCTTTAGTATAAACATGCTGAAGTGCGTCTTTCCTATAGTTTTATTTGTTATAACATCAAAAGCAAATTCCGCTTGACTCAAGATATCGTCCCATTGCTTTAGATGCTCACCTTCAAGACATCGAATCATATTTCCTAACAAGTGGTTTACCACTTCAGTTTGTCCATCAGATTGTGGATGATAGGCTGAACTAAATTTTAGTTTTGTTTGTAGTCTTTTCCACAAGTCACGACAAATACAACTAACAAACTTGAAATCACGATATGAAGTTGTGCTCCTTGGAATGCCATGTAGACGGACTATTTCCTTCAAAAAGTTTTGTGACATTGATTGCATCAAATGTCTTCTTGCAGGCGATAAAATCGGTCATTTTTGAGAATTTGTCATCCACCACCATAACAGAATCAAGACCACATTTTGTTTTTGGAAGACCCAAAATAAAGTCTAAACTAAGATCTTCCCAGATTGAATCTGGAACCGGTAGTGGAGTATATAGGCCAATGTTCTGAGTGACACCCTTAAAGTTTTGGTAAATTTGGCACTTCTCAACAAAGCGACAGACATCTCAACGAAGTCCGGGCCAAAAGAATCTTGCTTGAAACAGAGCTAGTGTCTTGCCTCTTCCCACATGAACGACCAACCTAGCACTATACATTTCTTGAATGAGCTGATGCTAAAGGGAGGTATTTGGAATACAAAGTTGATTGCCTTTGAAGAGGAATCCCCGTTGAATGGAATAATCGCCCGCTGTCCTTTGTTCAATGCACTATGACCATGGAATTGAATAATCCTCATCATCTTCATTTTGCTCACAAAGTGATTCCATACTTGTAATTAGCGATTGGACAGAAACTAGAAGACTCACTCTTCGGCTTAGAGCGTCTGCAACTCGATTGCTATGGCTAGATTTGTGCTTCAATACAAAACCAAACTTTTGGAGAAATACAATCCATCTCATATGTATCCGATTTAAATTCTTTTAAGTTTGTAAAAATTGTAATGATTGATGGTCAGTAAAAAGCATAAACTCTTTTGAAATTAAATAATGTTCCCATTGTTTGGAAGCCTGAACCACAACATATAATTCTTGCTCGTATGTGGACCATTTCTGCAGCGGACCACTAAGTTTCTCACTGAAAAATTCAATTAGTCTGTTTTCTTGAGATAGAATTGCTCCTATTCCTATAGCAGTGGCATCTGTTTCCACTTGGAATGGTTTATCGAAGTCTGGCATCGCTAGAATTGGTGCAGAACTTAGGTGTTGTTTATCACCCAAGAAAAATAATTTCTGCTTTAAACAATCCATAAATGGAGCTACAATGACGCTGAAATTTTGAATGAATCAACGATAGAAATTAATGAGTTCATGAAATCTTCATACTTCAGTAAAATTTGTTGGTTTTGGCCAAGAATTGATAGTTTTCACCTTTCTCAAATAAGTTTTAATGCCATGTTTGGACCTAACAAAGCCCAAAAACTGCACCTCTTCCTTGTGTGTGTGTGTGTGTGTGTGTGTGTGTGTGTGTGTGTGTTATATATCACGAGAAAGCCACTAAGGATATTTGACTGATTTGAGGCCATTTGTATATAAGGATATTTGACTGATTTGAGGCCATTTGTATACAAGAAGCTATTAGAAAACTACCAAAAATGTTTGACCTATTTGAAATCATTTGTATATACAATGTTAGGAGAAATTCACCAATGATGTTAGATCTATCCTAGATTGTTGGTCGGAGCATGACTCAACAACGTTAACTTGTGTGGACGAGATTGAACGTAATCAATCAAGGATTTTTGACATATCTTACCACTAAGGATATTTGACTGATTTGAGGTCATTTGTATATAAGGATATTTGACTGATTTGAGGCCATTTGTATACAAGAAGCTATTAGAAATCTACCAAAAATGTTTGACCTATTTGAAATCATTTGTATATACAATGTCAGGAGAAATTCACCAATGATGTTAGATCTATCCTAGATTGTTGGTCGGAGCATGACTCAACAACGTTAACTTGTGTGGACGAGATTGAACGTAATCAATCAAGGATTTTTGACATATCTTAGGTTTTTAGTCGGAACATTTGCTAGATGACTTTAAATATCATCATCTTTACCTTTTTAAAAATGAAGTACACCTTTTCACGCATAAGCTCATGACACCAAGATTTTATAAGTGTAAATATCAAACTTTATGAGAACTGTGAGGTATAAATGTAAATATCTCTTTTTGGGATATTTTGGCTGTTTGGTGGCTGGGAGCGCTGGGAATTGTACGAAATAAATGCAAAATGCTGGAAGGGCAAAGGAATTATGGAAATATGGAAACAGAGGGTTATATACCCATTTTTTTTTTTTTAATCTTTTTATTTTAGTAAAATTTACATACATACATGCCACACAATTCCAATATATTTACATATCAAACACCTAAAGTTTGTCATTTACACTCATAGCACCCGAGTGCCATCAATCTATGCATGAAAGGTGTATTTCACTTGTATATTTACATATTTTTGATGCGCTGTAAAATATTCGAGTGTTATGCGTGTAAGTATGAAAGTTTAGGTGTCAAAATTATAAATAGATAAGAATTGTGTATGTAAATGCTCCTTTATTTTTTTTCTATTTTTGGAAGATTTACATACATACCACATAATTCATTTGTATTTAGATATCTAACACCAAAACTTTGAATTTATAAGAATTATGAATTCGAAGAAATGAAATTAAGAATTTGTAAGCATCTGCAAAGAAATGAAATCTTATGGGACATGACCTTTCATATTCTTTATGATAATATCTCTTTGATATTTTATGTAATAAATTTGCTATTTTGAATGACATAAATACACTATACAACAACAACAAGCCTTTATCCCGCTTGGTGGGTTAGGCTACATGAAGCATTTTTTTCCATTGCATTTTATTGAGTGTCATATTTTCATTTAGATTAAGATCAAGTCTTTTTTGGTCTACCTCCACCTTTCTTAACATAAGTCAAATCCAAAGCATCTAATCTCCCAACCGGATCATCAGATAGTTAACGTTTAATGTGACCAAACCATGTAATACAACTCTCTCTAATATTGTCTGCCTGGAGTTATGCCAACCCTATCACGGATATATTCATTTCACATTTTGTCTCTTAAGTTTCAAGCCACCCATCCACCTAAGCATTCTCATGTCAACAACACATTACTTTGTTTTGTGCTTCTCATTTAAAGGTTAACATTCTGCATCTAGAGCATTGCAACTCTCACCACCATCTTATAAAATTTTCCTTTTAGTCTAAGCTCTATTTTTCAATCACACAATGGACCCGATGCATTCATCCACTTCAACCAACCAACTTGAATTATACTGATAACATCTCCATCCATATCACTATCACTTTGAACAATAAACTCGAGATATCTAAAACCTTCACACTTTTTAATGATTGGATCACCCATAGTTACAACTCTGTCAATAGAGTTACTACTACTAAAATTACATTCCATGTATTCAATTTTAGATCTGCTCAAATGAAGGTCTTTAGACTCAAATGTAAACCTCTATAATTTTTTTAAACTCTTTCTCTAGTCTTATCCACAAGAAGGATATCATCAGCAAAAAGCATACACCAAGGTACATTCTATATAAATGTCTTGTAAGAGCATCCATAACTAAAGCAAAAGGATGTGGGCTTACAACGAATCTCTGACGTGATACCCAAATAGAAAGATACTTGGTCGATCCTCCTGGTCGAACACAACTAACAGCTATAACATTCATCTTTAATGACTTTTAATGTTTAATACAAAGGCATCCAAATAATTACTTTTCTTTTATGTTTCCTGGCATTTTATAACATCAAACATGACATGACACTGATATGTGTAACATTTTAGTATCTTCTGTTTGATACATGCATGACATGACAAGTGTCCAGTAAACTACCGTTGACTTGTTCAATTAAAAATAGGGGCATTTACATACATACAACAATTATTTATTTATTTACACATCTATCACCTAAAATTTCATATTTACATGACTTACTATCACTTGAACTTCTCAAAACTGAAATACACATTTTCATGCAAAGGTTTCTCACACAAAAAATGGTATAATTGTAAGTACAAAAGTTGAGATGTTAGATTTATAAATTCATAAGAATTTATATTCTTGTTTTCCAGGTTGCCTGCTGGAACAGTCAGATCGGTGCCACAACTTGCTTGAAATGGGCTCCCCGGAGAGCCATGTTTGCAGCAGCATCAACAGTCCTCACATTTTGGATTCCAAATTTATCGAAGTTGAGTAACTCTCCCAGCACTGAAGTTTCTGCTGCATAATTTTCTAATTCAAAATATATATTTAGGATATTTTGCACTCACATGTATGATTGATGTATTTGTTTAGGCCAGGTTGACTTTTGGCTAACTTGGGTTGACCATGCTTTTAGCATAAAATGTTTCTTGGTCATGTAGTTAAACTTAAATTTAGAGCTAAGTTTACATGTTTTGCTCTTTTCCTCTTATTTTTATAATTAAAGAAGGCTTTTCTAATATTAATCACTTTATTTTCAAGACAAAGTTTTCTTGAGTTCCCTTACTCTATTTTTGTGCTTTTTCACCAAGTAAAAGACTAATTGAGTGTGTTAGCTCACAAATATTAGAGGACTTCTAAGAAAGGAACATTATCTCTAAAATGATGGGCTTTTTATAGAGATTGATGGTTCGTTTGGGGCAGCTTATTGTTTGGTTTGCGCGTTTCGCCAGCTTATTCGAAACTGTGTTTGGGTTTTTACACTAAACGCAGGCCGCTGGTTAACCCCTGCGGCCGGCCCGCGGGCCGCGTTTATGGATAAGCAGTTTATCTTGAAACGCACAAGCTGCCCCAAACGGACTCTGAGTTTAATTTTTCTTTATTTCATCACAAATTGCCTTAAATTATTAATAAATTAGATTAGTCATAATTTTTTTATTTCTTATTTAGTTTATATTAGAATAAGACATCTAGTGTGGTTAACATAATGCTAGCTAAAATTTTTCATTCTTAATGAGTTCTTATTTCTTTAGAAAAATTAATTTTGATAAACTTTAATTTCTTACTTATGCAAATGACAATGATAATAGAAGCTTTGTCTCTTCTCAAAAGCAACATAATGCCTCAATTAAAAATCAATTCTTATCACATTTGAGAAGCTTTAAGAAATATCAATCTCAATAAATACTTGAGCAATTGAGAGCTTTAATATGTAAGTAGTTGATGAATCCACTTTGAAAAGGTTTTTTTTTTTAACAAGGTCTCAGATGAGTAAGATGATTTGTCAAAAGCAATGGAAAACAATCCAAATAAGGACAATGGGAGATACATTGAAAAAATATCAATAGATATTTTGATAATCTTATTAAGGATTCACCAACAAATATTTTTTTTTCTCACAAATAAGATGCAAAGCACACATCATTTAAAGTTTAAGATAACATAAATTTCATAACTTCAAATTTGGTCTTAATAGATTAAATAGGCGGCATACCGAAGATACACTTTTCCACTCGGGCTAATTCAATGGAACCATTGAGCTTGAAAACACAACTTTATGGATCATAAGAGTGGGTTTACCTTGCTATAAAAGTAATAAAAGAGGTGGTTGTTTATATATTGGGGAAGAAATAATCGAAGGAGTACTTACCATTAGCTAAATTTATTGAGGTTGAAATCAACTTTGAATAAATAAAATAAAAAGTAGGCAAGTGATAGTGAGCGCAATAAGACATGGGAAAACCATCAAGTGTAAATAGTAGTGGTCAACAAAAGGCTCAACCTAAAGGAAATGCAAAAAAGAAGCCATTAAACAACCCAAAACACACTTGATGGAACCAACAAGCTAGTTCTAATCATAAGGGATGAAGTCTAAACCAAGTTTATGAAAGAAAGGTGCAAAGTCATACTTAAATGTGAGAATGCCCAAGAAGAATTGAGAATGGGAAAGAAAACCATAGTTGCTTGCTTGAAATGGGAGGAAGTGATGATGTGTGAGAATAGCTTCATAAGTGAAATTCTACAAAGGGGATGTCTAAGTTACATGATTTGAGTTAAGCGACTGTGTTATAAGAAAGAGAAATGATTTAAGTAATTAATTCATAAACTATTAATGTAATAGAGTTCTAACTTGGTCTTTTAATATATTTTACAATAAGTTTATCTTTGCATTAAAAATAATTAAAATTAATTTTTATATTTTACTTACTCTATCAATTATTCTCTTAAGTATTTATGATAAAACATAGCTTTAAAAATTGAAACATAATTATACAACAAAAATTTAATTATTTTTTAATTCTCATTACTATTAGAAATACTATGATTCACCATTTTGAGCTCATCTTCAAGCTACAAATGCTCTAATATTAGTAATTATCACCATGTTTTAGCCAAATCATCATTAAAGTATAGAACTCTAACCAAAATCATTTATAAAATGACTCAAATTTTGCTATCATCGAATCACTTATGAGTCGAATATTAATCACACAAACTTATGAGGTTAACGTTATGTTGATACTAATATGCGCTAAAAAAATTCTCAATGAAACAAAAAAGCTGTGAGTTAACACATGGAGATCTCAAAAGACTTTGTTGTTGATTCTACACTTCAAGAAAAGAGCCTCCTTTTTTCCATCAAAATATTGAAAAAAATATAAATTAAGGAATGAAATAATATCATTAAAAAAGCACCCATTTTTGCTTCATTATTTTGACTCTATAAAAAGGTATTGAAAACATTTATTTACCTTTCTATGATGTGAAAAATAAGTTCATTTTCAGAATTTTGTCTAAAAAAAATCTATGCTAAAATATGATCTACATCAGCAATATAAATACATATACATAAATAAATATAAAAGGATAGGAACCACCCAACCTTTCTCTCATTTCACTACAAATGACAAGAACTAACTACACCATATGCTCCTCTAGCCTTAGTCAACTAAAGAACAGCTTCCTTGTCCAATCAATCAATTGCATGTTTTATGACAAATCATCCACAGTTTTCTCATTTATTTCAAGACATATAATGACCTAATGCATTCAAAATCCTTAAAATAAATATATATATATATTTATCCATAAATAACTTATTGAGCCCTATGGGGTAAACATTAAAGTGCAACTTTGCTAACATTAACGTTGACTTCAAACTAACAAATTACATGTTGTCAAATCTTGGCAAGTCTAGAATTTTTTCTTCCCAACAAAAACCGGTAATCGTATATTAATTTGTTGACTTATAATATCATCTTCGGTATCGTCGTAAATATATGGGATTGACTATATGATATATATATATAAATTTGCATGGTGGTTAGATTCTTGTATTACAAGATAAATTTTTATAGTCTCTAGGTAACATGATGTTATGTTTTTTTTTTTTGTTAAAGGAATGACCAGAGGCTATTATACGTGCCTCCAATTTACCGATAATGTGCATAACAATACTAGTACCACCTCCTCAAAGCCAACTGCGTCACAGGGGATTCGAACCCCCAACCTAAGGGGATTTATACCGTGGATGTCAACCAACAAATTATTTTAAAATTTTTAAAATAATTTTAAAAATTTTAAAATTAATCATTATTATTTTTTTATTAAACAGCTTTTACCTTGAATTGTTCAGATGTCAAAAATTTAATTAATTTCTCATTTATGAAAAATGATAGCTTAATCTTCAATAAATGAATCCTTAAGCTTAATCTTCAATATAATGGCCTTTTAATAATTTAGTTTAAGTTAATTGAGCCAACTTTTAATAAAGTAGTGATCCAATCATGCATGAGAGCGGCTGCAAACAAATTAGTAGCTTTAATAAAGCTGATTGAACAATCATTTTCCAACCAATGGCTCCTAAAAACAATCAAATGAAATCATTTAAGTCATCATTAAGTTATATCATAGAAAGATTAAAGTTGTAAGTTTCTATAAACAAATAATGGTTAAATTTAAAGTAGAGTTCTTTGCATATTTTAATATTTTGATTTTCATTTCAAATTCAAACTTCAAATTTCCATCTTTTTTTTTTTTTGTCAAAGACTACTTGAAACTTGCTATTTACAAAATCAACCGTTCTCTTTCGTTCATTTCTCAAAATCTCGCTTAAATATCAAAATTCATGATAAAATACTAACCATATTTATCATTTTTTGACAAGTTCTTAATAGTTTCTTGGTGGCAAGCGTAAATGCATCGGTTCGATAGTTTAAAAAAATCACCTGGGTGCTTAATTTATAATTATTAATATTTATGCTCGTCAGTACTTAATTATCCCTAATTTTTTAACGCTCAACATAAAATAAGTCAACCGAAAGGGTGAGAGGGAATATGAAGTGAGGTATATTAACATCACTTTAGACATAAAACTATCTCTAGAATAAAGAAAGTATAGCCCCCAAATTTGACTTCCATGCACTTTTAACAACTTAATAAATGGTGAGTATAGTTGGCTCATATGTAAGGAGGATGTTCTTCATATATGTATGTGTGTGCGCGCGCGCTCCGCCTACCTTGAAGTTTTGCTTGATAGAATTTATAAGACCCCTAAGGTCATGAGTTCGTTCACACCTATGTACTAGATGAAATTCTAATAGCCTCTCACCAAACTTTGAATATATATATATATATAAATCAAAT